CGCCAAGGACACTTGCAACGGACACTTACCTTCTTTGGAATATCGCGCATTGAAGACTAAGGATCCACCCAAATCGGCGCGATCCAACGGCTCTATCCCACTAAGGTAAGTTTTGATTTATTTTAATTATCTTTGATACTAACCATTCCTTATTTGAACTTGTCTTGAGATTTCTTTCCTTATGTAGCGTATGGCATTTGTTTCGCCGATTGTGTTTTAATTAGTTAGATGTCGATCTTTGTAATAAATGTCAAGACCCCTAGAAGGGCATAGCTGATCGGACGAGTATATAAGTCCCCTAACAGTCTTGTAAATTTTTCACCCTTGATCAATAAAGCAAAAGCATTCTTCTTAAAGAATTTTTTCTTGAACAACCTTCGAAATCCGAGATTTCTAGTTGTTCGCTCAGTCAGTATCGAGTTGTTTCCATCCGGCTCATGGTGACCTTCAATCCATCTTCGCTTCCACTCGTTCATCTCTTTATCCGTAGTGAAAGCGCCGTACGACCAGCACTCGGATCCGTTCATCACTTCGCTTCCATCGCTCATCGCTACCCGACTCGCAACAGGTACCGTACGGCCGGTTCGAGCCATCCACCCTCCACGTAATCTCCGTTTGTGAGGCTGCATCATCTGGTATCAGAGCTTCAAAGCTCCTAACTATCAAGTTTTATCTATCCGTAATCTTATTTCAACTTCATTTCAAAAAAAAAAAAGTGTTCTTCGTTTCTCGTCTGTTTGATTCGCATTTTCATTTCAAAAAAAAAAAAAAGTGTTCTTTATTTTCTCATCTATTTGATTCGCCTTTCATTTCAAAAAAAAAAAAAAAATCTTTCCATTAATTACCAACTTATTTCATTCCAACGGCTCCTTTCCTTAATCAATCATTCTCATTAGATCTTTCCCTTAAATAGGTTTCGCATTATTTGCTTGCCTTTTTAGAACACATTCATACACTTTGTCATCTTTTGCAGGTACTTATCCGGATCAATGGGAGACACAGCCGAGCCAACCTTGGCCCAACTCATGGCCGCGATCCAAGGCCTTACCAACCGTATGACCCAGCTTGAGAACCAACAGAACCTGGAGACCGAGAGCACGACCGAAAGTAGTACCGATCCGGCTCGCGCCAACCCTAACCAGAATGGTCGCAACGACAACGGACAAGCCCGTGGTCAAAATGAACCACGCCAAGACCGCGACGGCCCCCACAACGGCCCAAGACGGGGCCCAAACCGAGAAGAAGACGAGCCATGGCATGGTGGGAAGAGTTTGAAGCTGGTT